GGGGCACAGATAATGGTCCCTCTGTCGGATGTGCTCTGTGCTCCACCTTTGCCAACACCCGGTTGAGACTATAAATGGTTAAGACTGAGCTGTTTCCTTTCTCACACTCCAGGCTTTCAGGAAACAAAACGGGAGGAAGAAACAAGCCTGAGCAGTGGCATGATCAATGAGGGCCTTCAAATATTACTTGTTGAGATGAGTGTGTCTATCCGTGTGTCTTGTTCCAAAAAGGATTTAAGGTGGCTTGCAAAGATAAAAACATGAAGTTGGTAAGAGAGATGAAGTAAAAAGACAAGGAGAATAGGGACAAAATATAGGGCCGAGCCTTAAAATAGAAGGGGAATTAAATCTATTATGCTTCGGTAGGGAAAAGTGCCATGTTTTCTGGGAAGCCAGTGGCATTCTGTTCCATCTCTTTTAAATTATGAGTAAGCAGTGTTAGTCTCAATTTAGGGGCCTGCATTTTGATGAGTTTGTTCTGTTTTGGTTTTTGTTTGGTTCCCTGACCTTAAATCTGCATTTCAATGAGAAAATCAGACTCCATCACAGTCAGTTGACAGTTTTCTTGTAACTGCCTTCCTCTGGGGATCTTTTGGTGGGAAAGTTGGCAACGCATGAGGGTAACAGAGGAAGTCAAAGGTTAAGAAAGAATCTGATGGCCTGTACAATACAGGAATTCAACAAAAGAAAATTCTGGAAGGAACATCCATTTTACCTCTAGCATTAAATGGTTCATTAATTCTTTTCTAAAAGGGAATATGACTAGGTATGCCATCTCCACTAGAGCTAAAACCTCCATAAATAAAACAGGGTTATCTGGATAATTGACTTGACTTTTTCTTTTGGCTGTGTAACAGTGAAGCAAAGTAGTATTTATTCAATTCTGTGATGTTTTTATTTGATGGTACAAAGGCTATCTTTTCTTTCAACCCCAAAACTTGTTTGCCAAGATTATCTTTATTTAAATGCTCTGTATTAATAAGCAACATCTGTAGTCTCATGTAGAATAGTCATTTTTAGCCTCCAGGATTTAAAAACAAAACCAATAAGAAACAAGGAAGTTACACCTGTGTTACATCAATGCTGTCTAATGATTCCCCATTATCTAGAGGGTCAAGTTCAATTTCTTAGCCAAGGATGAAAGGATTTGCTGCATTTTGACTCTTCTAACTTGGTACCTCACTTTTTCTTGAAAAATTTCCCCTAAAGAGACCCTAGCTCCATTTAAAAGTCTTTGACCTTGTCTCAAATCCAGGTTCTGGCTCTTATCCCCTCAGGCAGTCAGGCATGGTTGGGTGGTGGTGGGGTGGTGACAGGAAGTGCCAGAGAATTAATACTATGCTCTGCTCCTCCAACCAGGATCAATTGAGATCTCCTGGAGTATTTTAGGTCAGTGGAATTGCTGGGATGGGTATTGTTATGGGCTGAATTGTGTCTCCCCCAAATTCACATCTTGAAGCCCTAAACTCCCCAGTGCATTTGAAGATAGGGTCTTTAACGAGGCGATTAAGTTCAAATGAGGCCCTTAGGATGAGCCCTAACCCAATATGAACGGTGTCCTTATAAGAAGAGAAGATTTGGACACACAGAGGGACATCAGGGATGTACACACACAGAGGAAAGGCCATGTGAGGACCCAGCAAGAAGGCATGCTTGTGCAAGCCAAAGAGAGACCTCAGGAGAAAGCAAACCTGCCGACACCTTGCTCTTGGACTTCTAGCCTCCAGAACTGTGAGAAAATAAATATCTGTTGTTCAAGTCCCACAGTCCATGGTATTTTGTTATGGAGACCCTAGCAGATTAATACAAATGTCCTCCACGAAGACTTTTCTTTTCAGCTCAAGTATATAGTAATAATTCTTCCACTCAACTCATTGCAATTATTTTCTCTACCATTCATTTGAAATTTAAACCAGAGCTTTCAAACATATTTAAGTCTTCATGATTTGTTTTTTTCTCTCCAATTCTTCATTCAGTCATTAACTAAGTCTTTCTTTGAGCACTGCTGTGTCCCGCTCTAAAGCAAGGAGCTTGCCAGGTTCTCTAGTTCAGCTATGAATCCGCCACAGAACCAAATAAAGCTCGGGGCACTGCAGGGCTTAGGAAAGTGTAACAAGTTTGTTTTTTAGGAGCCATCGTTTTTTCTGATTAAAGCAATTGGAATTATTAAAGAATTTGTAAAATGCATAGAAAAGTACGACTGTGAAAATAAAAATCACTCATAAATGCCACTACTTGGGGAAAACTACTGTTAAGATTTTGAAGAATTTTATTCCAGCTTAAAAAACTAGATATCAGGAACACTTGCCCACGTTGTGGAGTAGCTGTTTAAAGCAATTTTTATGCTATAGCAATATTCTATTATATGGATTTACTCTATCTATCTATCTATCTATCTATCTCTATCATCTTACCATTCACCTGTTACTGAACACGTGACTCTTTTTTTTTTTAAAGATTTTTATTGGGGAATTGGGCGATGGGAACAGTGCTGGGGAATTGGGGAAAGGGGAACAGACAAGTTGCTGTCCTTTTGTTCTTCAGTCTAGTTGTGGAGGATGTTGCTTCACTGGCCCAAATTGGCACCATCATTGCGCTCTTCCCGGGCGAGTCAGATCAGTCGCTGGCTTCTGGACAGCCGCTCACTGCAGCTGCTGGCCGCTCACACTGGCTGCTGGCTACACACAGCAGCCCATGGCAACCCACTGCCACAGGGGCTGCAGCCCATGCCGTCACCAGTGATTCACGGCAGCCCAGCTCCAGGTTGAGCTGTTGTTCAGCATCTTAGCTGTGGAGGGCAGTGTCACTGGCCCTCGTATGTGGGATCCAAACCGGGGCCCTCTGGCGTCCCAAGCCAGCTCTTAACCAACTGAGCACTCGGCCAGCCCTGGACATGTGACTCTTTATTCTTATTCTTATTTTTATTATTCTATGTTAAGTATCCTGACTTATTAACTCTCCATGTAAAATCTTTGTTTAAATTTCTGATAGCTTCCTTACAATGGATTCCAAAAAGGGAACTACAGCCTCATGGGAGATGAACTTTTCAGTTTTTGATAGGCATGACCAAACTGCTACCCTGGGGTGGTTGTATAAACCAGATAGAGTTTTTATTATTAAATAATCAGGTACATGCTAGAAGGTCTTGTACCTTCTACTGCTTAGCTTTGACAAACACAAACTTAAAAGAGGAAAATCTTTATAAGATATTTAGAATACTCCTGAATAATATTGGAAAGTTGTCTACAAAAAAGTTCAATTGTTTATTATTGCATCTTAATTATGACATGTCATTAAACTTGCTATAATAATGATGCAATCCTGAAAAATAGAGTGTTTTTAAGTCTAGAATTGTAAATCGAGTACAAAAGGTAAAAGGAATTTTAGAAGTCACCTGCCAACATTACAGATGACAAAATTTTGGCCCAGGGTAGTGGATTTCTTAAGGCCAAAGAGCTGGTATTGGCATTCACGTATCACAGGAAGCTTCTCTTAGGAGATTCAAGTGAGGGCAGCACATAGTAACTAGAATATGACTTATTCTTAAACTTTTCCAGGGCAGCCTGTTAGCTCAGTTGGTTAGAGCGCAGTGCTCATAACACCAAGGTTGCCGGCTTGATCCCCACATGGGCCACTGAGCTGCACCCTCCACAACTAGATTGAAACAACTACTTGACTTGGAGCTGATGGATCCTGGAAAAACACAGTTCCCCAATAAAAGGAAAAAAATTAAAAACTTAAAAAAAATTTTTTTCTACCAGAGCAATCCCTAATGCAGCTGCTTTCCCAGTGCCTTCTGTTCATGGGCTAATTAGGAGAATGGTGTTTTCACAAAGAGGGTTCTGAAATTATGAATATTCCTAAGTAAGAGGTACTGCTGGGCATGAAGTTGGCCCACGGCAGAAACTATGACTTGCCTGCAGAGAAAAATGAAAATGTAATTCCTTTTGGAGCTTTTGACAGACTGATGAAAGCCCTGTGCTCTCCTCCCATCTTAGGACTTCTGAAATGAATGACAAGTGCGAAGTAAAAGGTTGCTGTTACTTATCTTGCAACCTGGGGAAAATGAATTGACTATCCAAGGAAAGCGGGCAAGTCAAAATGTTGGTCTTCCTTGTTTGAATTTTGAGGCTTAGAAATAATTCTAAGAAACCTAAGTTCTGTATCAGCACAATCCAATAGGAAGTGCTGTGAGCCATTGTAAGTAATTTAAAATTCCCTAGTTGTCACTTAAAAAGTAAAAATTAATTTCAGTGATATATTTTATTTAACTCAATAGGTTGCAAACTTTATCATTTCGACATGTAATCAATATAAAAATTACTAGTAAGCTATTTCACATTTTTTTTGTCATATTAAGTCTTTGAAATCCAGTGTGCATTTACACTGATAGCCCATTTCAGTTTGGACTAGCCACATGTCAAGTGCTCAGCAGCCGAAATGGGGCAACGGGCTTCCATACTGAACAGTAGAGCCTTATACTGCAGAATTCTGTCTCTGGTGGGTCCATGCCTGTGGATTTTATTACCAAATTGGAAGTGGTGTCTTAGACTCAAAAAGATGATATGGTTGTTTTTATCTTTTTTAAATATCTAGCAGACAACGTGCATACATTGTTGTTAAGAAGTGCGTGTGGGAGAAAGAGAGACAGAAGGAAGAGAGAGGGATTGAGAGGGAGCTTGAAAGAGAGAGTTTATCAGTCTCAACGAGGCAATTTTGCACACTTGGCTGACAGCTTGAATTCATGTCCCTGGGTCCCAAAAGTTCATCTACTGCTGATCTCGTAGCAACCACTCTAAGGTCGCCCAGCCTCCCACTACCTTTAATCACACCCAGAGAAGTCCCAGGGGCCTTGCCAGGGAGAGGAGTAGCAGGGCAGGTCTAGAACAGGATGCCACAATTGGCAGAACAATTTTCTTATCAAGGACTCACAGTCAGAGAGAGAAAGTCTCCCTGTTCAGGGAGGGTGTCTTTTGTTTGTTTTTTCTTTTCTCTTTTAGCTGAAGGGAGTTCCTGGGAAAGATGCATGCCTTTAGAAGCGGAAATTCTTGGCAATAAGAAAATTAAAACTACCCAACACAGACCATGCCCCGCCCAAGCAACGATCTCAGCTTCAAAGGATTCAGCAAGTGTCCAGACCCTGCTGCTTGGGGCTGCACAAGAGCCAGCCAGTCCCAGGAGAGCTGGCGGGGCTGCCAAGGCGGCTGCTCGCTGCACTCCCTCTCTCTGGGCCTGGGCTGCATTGATGGCAGCTACACGCAGAGCTGCCCCTGCTGGTTTGGATTAGGGGTAACAAGGAAGGCCAGGGAGGCCTCAATGTCCTTGGATTGTGCAAATAAGGAAGCCTGGAAGCCAGGACCGAGGAAACTGGGAGAGGCCTGGAGAACCCCATGCCCAAGAGGAGAGGCCACAGGGGCAGAGGGCCTTGCCCAAGTCACATAACTAGATAACAGCTAAGCTGAGGATTGAATGTGCCTTTGACTGGCAGCTGAGCCGTTTCCTTCTAATTCATGCGGCACCTACATGTACAAGTACAGCCCGTTCTGTGATTGGCTGCTGAAATGTCCCTGTATATTTGTGGGTATCGAGAATGGGGGCTTAGAGAGGGAGGGCTGTTCACTGGCAGTCCCACCCTAGGTCACCACCCAGGCCAGCATGGGGTGCTGCTCACAGCCACCAAAGCAATACTGAATCCCTGACTTGCAACTTCATCAGTCAATACATATTTCTTGTGCCCTTTGTGTGTGCCAGGCACTGTTTCAGACACTGGGGATATAGCATGGGCAGAGCCCCTGCCCTTGCTTTCCCCCTAGTGAGGGGAACACATAATAAAATAAGTAAATTACATAGTAGGTTAGAAGGTGACAAGCTGGGAAGGGGGGTAAGGAGTGCAGAGAAGCCGGGCGGGTGCCTCTTAAATAGCGTGGTTAGGAAAGGCTTCACCGAGAAGGTGACATGTGAGCACAGTCTTCCTAGGTATGGAATGTTTAAGCAAACTCCTTACCCTTCTGATTGCTTATAAAATAACGGCAGTAATAAGAATAAGAATAATGGCAGATAAATCTATGTAGAGTCCTTACTCTGCACCCCTCAAAGTTCTTTCTATGCGTGGAACTCACTTAATCCCCATAACCCCAGGAGACAGGTGCTGTCATTAACCCAATTTACAGACTAGAAAACAGAGGCAGCGTAGAAAACAAGTGAAGTGAGTTTGCCTGAGGCCACACTGTTAATAGCGCAGGTGAGCAGCTTGACTCCAGAGCCCTCCCCCTTCTTCATCAGCCTTAAAAGCGCAGCTGGTCTTGAACCGAGATCTCTTAGGTCCTTCCCAGCTCCAGTGAGGAAGGTCAAGAGGGAGCATTTCCAAGCTGTGGCTCAGGATTCATCTGGGATAGGCTGCTCTTGGTACTTCCGGTTATCTATCTCCAAAATCAAGAGACTAAATGCTCTTCAGTTGTCTACTGTTTCTGAAGCCATCCTGCTGGACTTCGCAGAGGATACAAAGATGTGGCATTCGTCCTGAGAAGCCGGTCCTAAGAAACAGATCTTCGCTTTGGGCAGAAAGAAGCCAGCCCATTAAAAGTTAGGTAGGACCAGACTCCACCAAAATGCTGTGCAGCCAGTGTCCAAGGAGGTCAGACCCTGTGGGGCAGTGGGGGCACCTGGCTAGTCTTGCTCCGAGGCTTCAGGGGGGTCTTGACTGTCATGAATATGTGATAGAAGAGAGAGCGCCCCACAGCTGGGACCAGCACGGCTATGGGAGGAGCCAGGCAAGGCAAGTTAGGAGAATGGTGAGCTGATTAGAACAACCCTCATCTAAAGTCGGTTTTCTAGAGGCGTTGAGGTTAATAAGGACAAAACTGCTCCCAAATCCTGATTATCTGTTCTGACTTAGGGGGGTAAGAAGCTGCAGAATCAACATCCACAAATCCAAAAGTAATTCCAGCTGGTTTGACTTCCCAGTTACCTCGCCTCCTGGATGCCCCTCACCTTGGCCAGGTGGGAGAGCCTCATGCTCAGCGAAGAGAACGCACTGATGTGGTTGAGCGGGAAGAGCCTGGCGGACAGAGCGCAGCCCGGTGAGTTCTGCACGCCTCGTTATCCACACCGAGTGTGTGAGCTTGGGTGCAGCGTCTCCTTATCTTAGCTTCTCCCTTCTGTAAATGGAGGCTATAACCCCTCCTGCCATCCCGAGTTGTTTCGGCACCAGGTGACCTAGCCTCAGTGTAGCGGACGCTGTCAGGGCTGCACCCAGACCTCCTTGGAGCACTCTCACTGGTACTGTGTGCTCGCCCCCCAGTTCCTGAGGGCTCTGCTTCCCAAAGCCCCCACCTGAGGCCTCCTGTGGGGATGCTGGAGCCGCGTCTCCCACCCCTCCTGCCAGTTTCTCGTGGGGATACCTGCTTGTAAATGACGTGCACATGAGTCAGCTTCTGCCGAACCTGACTGAAGGCGGCTTACAGAAGCATTTTGAAAAGATGCCACTGACACTTACTTGTAAGGAGGTTTCATTTGAATTAACTGCAGAACTGACTGTATAAACCTCTCATCTGTGAATTACTGGGGTGAGGACAGACCAAGAGGCTGAAAGGGAGCCGAAACTAGTTGTTCCGTAACTTAGCACAGTTGGCCTCTGTGATGAGCACACTCCCGACTTTGTACGAGCCGCCCCAATCACCAGATCAACTGGGAGCCGCATCCCCCTGGGCCTCTGGGGGCCTCCATCGCTGCCCTGTGGGCTAAGGCGGCTTTGTTTTCCACCCAGGGGTCGTCAGCTTATTCCCATTACACTCCCTGTGTGACCTTTCTCAGGGCTCCAGTTGAAAGCCGAAGTCCTGAGTTCAGGACATGGGCCCAGGCGACAGTCCGTTTTGAGAGCTGTATAAGGAAGGCACGTGCTTTGGGAAATTGTCAAGGGGGCAAACCATGAACCCGGATTTTTGATCAACAATACTTAAATAGCATCTAAGGCCGTTCATTCATTATATCACTGGATTTCGTACTTTTAACAAGAAACTCACATGCTTTAAAAATAGGTCCTCAAAATTCAAAGTCTTGTTTTGATAGCTCTCCTGTGGCTGATGAGTTTCCATGTTTCAGTGACATCCATGGGAGCCTGGGGACAAGATGGACCTGTCAGCAGATCAGATCCTCAAGAGTTTTCATCTTCCTTATTCAGTGGACACATTTCAAGCCCCTTTCAAAACCAGATCACTTTAAAGGCATTACTAGATAATCAAACTTACCTTATGAGACCCAGCTGCCTTGTTTTCTAAAGGTCAAATTCTTCATACCTGTCCTATATACCCCTCATGCCAATAGCCAGAGAAATAATGCACGTGCTTGCATATTTGCTTATGCACAGTCTTTCTTTAAATCATGTGTGTCTAGTCTGGCCTCCTTGATTTCCAAAAGGCAGGGTAGGCTTAATCTGGAACTGGACTCACCCAAGGGTTGCAAGAGAAATGGGGTGTGAGGAGTGGAGGATGTGGCGGGGTTTGGAGGGGGGCAAACCGAGCTGAGTCTGGGAGGAAAGCCAGAGAGCTGTTTAGTCTAGTGGTACCCAATCCTGCCGAGGAATCAGCTTGGGGATCTGAACGTACGCAGACATAGAGAATCAGAACCACCAGGCACGTGGGCCTTTGGCACTGGAGAGGTTGGGCTTAAGACTGTCCTGGGTCCCAAGAGGTGGGCAGGACACAGGGAACCCAGAACCCAGCACGAGGGACGTCTGTCATAGACAGGGTTGGGGGAAAGAGTGAGTGAGTGTGCAGAAGAGAGCAAGCAGGGAGCCCGGTAGGCAATGCCGAGGCAGGTTAGTCCTTAGCCGCAGAGGAGCAAAGCCTGGATACCAACGTAGGAAATGTGGGCAGTTGGCATGACTTGAAGCTGAGAGCTAAGAGATTAAATCCCTCCTGGCTTCTAAAGGTCAGGCCAGGACTGAGCTTTCCTGAGGGAGCCAGGCAGGGATCGACCGAACCCAAACTCAAACCCAAGTGCCCAGACTCTGGTTCAGTGGCTCCATTGCGTGAAGTCCCCGGGACCAAATACCAGAAAATCCTAGCTCTAATCTGCTACCTTCATCAGCCTGCCTCAGGGGACCAGAAGGCACTTATCACATGAGCCCCTTCTAGGGGTGCAGGAACAGAAGAAATGGGATGTTTGTGGAACATTTACTGAGCATGAAGCTGGTATAGGAGAACAAAACACTCAACTGGGGTGAGCTAAATAAACAGATTGCTTATAGATTAGTGAAAAAATCATCTTTTTCTGACGGAACACATCAAACCACATGAATGCAAATGTCAAAATCTCTAGGTTCTGCTGGAATTTTGTCATAGCAAATATTGACTAATGTTGGTGGGCTGCTGGCAGGGTCT